AATGGATATGAAAGCACTTTGCCAAGAAGAGTCCAAAATCAGCAGATTTTATAGGCGGATCCACAGGAAAGCTAGTCACTTCTCTACAAACCCCACCCCACCCCTCCTTTGGCTACAGTTACTACCGATTTCCTTAACCCTTGAAGCTCTAAGCAACAGTCCCGTTTAACTCACTGCCTGCTGCACATCTTCTCGATACACAGACAACTGCAGTTCAACATACCAAAAACAGACCTCACAACAGAAGGGCACACATTGATCACATGTTGGAAAATGGTTACAAGTGGCAAGTTTCCTGTTTGGGATATTTTGCATTTAAAAAAAACCAAAACAACGTATCGTACCATCATTTATTTATCTGCTTGCCTCCTGGGGCCATCTCTGTGACCCATCCAGTTTCCAAATCTAGGGGGAATGTGTCCTTGAATCTGAATCCGTCCTCAACCAATCACTAAGTCCTTATAATTCTGCCTAATGACAGTCTCTTACAGAGCCCTGGGGATGCGATGGTTGAGAATTTGGCTAGGAACCAAACTCACTGACTCTTAAGACAGTGACCCAGTCATCTGTTCCCATAAACCACAGATCAACCGGCAACAAACAACAATTAGCTTTTAAATCAGAGCTTCAAATCAATTAAAAACAGTTCAGTCATGACTACTGGACATTTCTTGGCCAATGGCTATTGATCCAAGTAGAAACATGCTCAAAATGACACGGAGCATTTGCAAAGATCCATTAATAATTAGAATATGGAATGTGCAAAGTATGAATCTAGGAAAAATGGAAATCATCAAAATGAAATTAAATGCATACAGATAAAGTATCCAGGAGCTAAAATGGGCTGGCCTTGGTCATTCTGAACCAGACACTCACATGGGTTACTATGGCAGGAATCACAAGTTCAAGAGGAATGGGGTCACATTCATGAACAAAAGGAACATCTCAAGAGCTATCATGAAGTACATTGCCATCTGGATAGGTATTGTCTTTGGCCTACAAAGACAACCAGTTAATATAAACATTATTCAAATTCATGTACAATCATAAGGCCAGTGATGAAAGAATTGAAGAATTCTACTAATTTCTTCAGTCTGAAATGAATCAAACATTTGATCAAGATGCATTGATAATTACTAGTGATTCGAATGTAAAAGTTAGAAAGAAGGAGGATCGGTAGCTGAAAATATGCTCCTGGTGATAAAAAAAAGCTGGATGTAGCACGATGGAATTTTGCGAAACCAATGACTTCTTCACTGCAAGTGCCTTTGTCAACCGCATACTCACTACCATTGAGTGGATTCAGACTCGTAGAGCCCCTGCAGAACTGAGTCCCCTGTGCGTTTCCTAGACAATAACTCTTCAAAGGGTAGAAAGGCCAGGTTTTCTCCCGAGGAGCTGGCTGGTGGTTCCAAACTGTTGACCTTGAGGTTCAACAATATAATCAGTGATGATAAAAGGGGGCATCATCAGACAGAATACCAAGGAATCAAATTCACTACATCTGAGGGAAAGAACTAGAGAACTTCAGTATCATCGCCCAATATAGGGCCAGGAGCCGACTCTGAAACAGATCATGAATTGCTCATTTTTAAGTTCAGGGTGAGGGTGAAGAAAAAAATCCATAAGAGCCAAAATACAACCTTGAGTATTTCCCAATTGACTTCAGAGACCATCTCACGAACACACTTTACAGACTGACTCCTAATGATCAAAGACCCGATGAACTGTGAGATGATATCAAGACTATCACACGCAAATGAAAAAAAGGTCAAAAAGATGGGAAACAAAGAAAAGACCAGAGCGGATATCAAAAAAGACATTGAAACTTGATCTTGAATAGAAAGCAGCAAAAGCAAATGGGAGAAAATGAAAAAGTAAAAGAAATTAACTAAATAGTCAAAGGGGATCGCAAAAACACACAGTAGGTCATTATAATGAAATGTGCAAAGACCTGGATTTGGAAAATCATAAGAGAAAATCACGCTCAGCAGATCTCAAGCTGAAAGTACTGAAGAAAACTCTTCAGCTACAAGAAGACGAAAGGTTATAAAAAAGAAGATGGAAGGTACACAGAGTCACTGGACCAGAAAGAATTAGTTGACAGTCAAGCATTTCAAGAGGAAGCAAAAGACGGTAGACCGTGCAGCACTGGCCCCAAGAATTGGCAGAATACTAACTGAAACGTTTCAACAAGTTGATGAAGCACTGGAAACACACATTGGTCTATCCCAAGAAATTGGGGAGACAAGTATCTCATGAACCAACTAACAGCTCCATGTGTGCTCACTCCAAAGCAGGGTGACACAACAGAAAGCGGAAATTATCACACAGTATCATTAATATCACACGCAAGTAAAATTCTACTGAGAATTCAACAACAGCTGCAGCACAACATCAACAGGGAGCTGCCAGAAATGCAAGCAGGATTCAGAAGAGGGTGTGGAATGAGGGATATCACTGCTAATGTCAGACAGATCTTGGGCTGAATGCAGGGGATACCAGAAAGATGTTTCCTTGTGTTTTATTGACTGTGCAAAGGCATTTAACAGTGTGGATTATAACACACTATGAAGCACAATAAAAAGAATGGGAGTCCAGAACACTGTTCCCATGTAGAACCTATACATAGACCAAGAGGCAGCTGTTCACACAGAACAGGGCACTGAATAATTTAAAAGCAGAACAGCGTACATCAGGGTTGTATAGGTTTACCACACTTATTCAGTCTGTCGGCTGACCAAGTACTCCAAGAAACTAAGTGAAGAAAGTGGAATCAAGATTGAAGGAAGGCTCATTAACAACCTTTGATAGGCAGATGACAGTCTTAATAGCTGAAAGCGAGGAGGACTTGAAGCATTGGCTGAAGAAGATCAAAAACTATAGACTTCAGTATGGATTAAACCCAATGGAAAGATACCCAAAATCCATAGAGACAACATCAGCCTGAAGTTGTCCAGGATTTCATCTTGCTTGGATTGACAATCAATCTTCATGGAAGCAGCAGTGTCAAGAATCATGTATTGCCATGGCAAATCTGCTGCCCAAGACCTCTTTAAAATGCTAAGGAGCAAAGCTGTCACTTTGCGGACTAAGGTGCACCAGACCCAAGTCTTGGTAGTTTTCAATCATCTCATGCATGTGCACGTGAAAAGTGGACAATGAATTACGGAAGACCACGAAAGAACTGACGCTTTTAAATCCTGGTATTGGTGAAGAATACTGAAAGCACCACAGACAACCGGAAGAACAAGCAAATCTATCAGAGGAAGCGCAACCACAATGACACTTAGACGCTAAGATGGCGAAAATTATCTCACGCACTTTGAAGATTTTACCAGAAGAGATGTCCTAGAGAAGGGCATAGTGCTGGACACAACAGAGATGGGGGAAAGAGGAAGACGCTCACTGAGATGAACTGACAGCGTGACTGCAATGATGGGCTCAAGCCTAACAACTGTGAGGGTGACACAGGCCTGGGCAGTGTTTAATGCCCTCATCTAAAGGGTGGCTCTGAGTCATAATCAACTCGATGGCACCTACAACAACATGCAGTAGTGCATCACTCATGCATGATAGCTGATTATACTATGAACATATCAATCAGCCACTGCCTTCGAACAAGGAGCCTTTGCTGTTCCAACTTAGATCAAAATCTGATGTGCAAAATATCGCTTTGCTCTGTAATGCACACATTGCCCTTGTTCCCATAGGCCATGACTGAACCATTTTGAGTCAGTGTGAAGCCCTGTTTTAAAGAGTACCAATCCTCTCAACTCTCCCAACTCTGCCACAACCTCAGTTAACACCTACCTGCTTTTCCAGTCCCCACTGGAGTTGACTGGCAATCCACTCAAGCATGGATCTAAAAATGTCCCTGCAAACAATCAAGGGCATTTTCTGATCTGGGCCTTGCTTACCTCATACTCTATGTTCCAGATAAACTATAAACAACTTGAACTTCCTTAAAAAATCAATGCATCACACTTGGGTCTTCAAACTTTTGTATAAGCAAGAGAGATTACTCCTAGGTAATTTCTTTTGAGAATGGGTCTTGTAGGGTATGTATTAAGCCAATAATCTAAGAATAAAGATAAGGACATTAAACACAAGCAAAGATGAGGAAAGAGATTTGCCATGCTGCAGAAGACTAAGCACTAAGGACAACGAGAAAATGCCCTCTCCTAGGGCTAGCATCCTGATTGCAGACTTCCGGCCTCCTATACTGTGAGGAAATAAATTTCTCTGTGTTAACACCATCCGCTTGTGTTATGTTTGTTATAACAGTGCCAGATAACAGAGCGAGCCTGGGAGCCCAGGAATTAAAGTGCTCGGGCTGCTAACTGAAAGCTTAAAGGTTTGAAACCACCAGGAGCAGCTCCACCAGAAAAAGATGTGGCAGTCTGTTTCTGTAAAGACAGACAGCCTCAGAAAGTCTATCGGACTGTTCTACCCTGCTCCGTAAGGTCAGAATGATGCAGAATCCACTTGCCAGCAATGCATTTATATAAATAACCAAACCAAACTCACTGCCATCAAGTCAATTCTGATTCATGGCGACCCTATGGGACGGGGCAGAACTTCCCCCGTGGGTTTCTGAGATTGCAACTTTACACACTACTCATAGCCACTACCTAGACAAATTTAACTATGTGTTTATACACCACCCAGTGCTTGGCACAGTCACAGCAAGTCAGGCTGTGCTGAAATCTCCTTTTCCAATATCTACATAACGTACATGTTCGGTGGAGAGGGGGACATATGTGCCCCAGCACCTATACCAAAGCCTGACACATGGACAATGGAAGTAGTCAGGTATTTCTCAATGTTTAAATGAATGACCTAAGCTTTGCATTTTTTAGATACTTAAACACGTCTCATGATGTGTCTGACAGTGTATGAAGTCATGCGAAGAAATTATTATTTTAACAATCAGATTCAAGAATCATTTTCAAAGTATGTATACATCTTTCCATAACAAATATGACCAGCTCAAATACCTGCTGAAAAAATGTCCATCGCCCTCTTCAACTCTCCCCGCGTTCGCTGATTGCTATTTAAGTCTACGAGTGGCGTTGAGGGGTCTCGCATGTATTCCAACTCAGTGGCAAACATCCCACCATCAACAAAACGTTCAGGGGCGATATAGCACGTTCTCCTCCGGGAAGTATCAAAGAAATAGTTGAAATCTGCTGGGTTGTCCTCTGGAAGGTAAGTGGGTTTGAAACTGGCAAAATCCGTTAGAAGAACCCAATTCCAACTGGTGACCATCACGTTCTCGGTCTTGATGTCCCCGTGACGGACACCCGATTTATGTGCTTGGTCCACGGCTGTGAGAACCTGGAAAGCAATCCAGCGCTTCTCAATGTTATTTAAGAAGGGGCGCGTGCTGATGCGATCATAGAGGTTGTCTCGAACATACTGCCGAAAGAGCATGGCTGCTTTCTCTGAGGCCTTCTCCGCTGCTTTCTGGAAAGGAAGGCAGTTCTGTGCAGAATTCAGCCTGATTTTCAGTTCCTCCAGCTCTTGTTTGTAGCTAGTCAAAGGCAACGTGGGATCCTGAATGGCAAAGACCTTGACCACCACCAGGCCTTCACGGTGCTTTGCTCGAGCAACTTTAAAAAAACGAGTGCTTCCCAGGCTCTTGTCATACTCAAAGTCGTGGATGTCTGAAAAGTAGCTTTCCACAGAAAGGATCTGGGAGGGAGCAATGCCGGCCAGCTGATTCCCCATGATGGCAAGCAAGCACTTTCGGCTGGGTTCAAGTCAGGATGCAGCACCTACCAAAAAAAAAAAAAAGCAGCAATGAAACGCCATCCACCAACCGGCTCTTCCCAAAAAACATACTATGTCTTTTTCACTGAAACCATTAGATGCAGCCTTCTAGGCAGCTTCACACACTTTTATCTGGAAAAACAAAACAAAACACTTGTTTTATGTTGTCCTTCCCAGGGGCAGAATTCCATCTAAATAAACCTCTTTAATGTCAAGTTGGAATGATCAGAATGTATATATTTTTTTTAACATTGAAATGTAAAATAGTAACCAGTTATTCTGTGTGTTCAGTGTGGTGCTTAGGGTTATGAGGATCACAACAGTACTATCATCAGCCCCAGGCCTGCTCCTGGAAGAGTTTGTAGTCTTCTTAGAGAGAAGATGCAGATGGACTAGAGACAGAGCAGACTCAGAATCGCCTAATACGAGTAGAAAATGGAACTTTTCCAAGGTTTGGGCTACTATTAAAAACAAAACAAAAACACATGACACAAAATCCTAGACAACAAAAACCCAACAATATGGGAGAGAAGGTGAGAAGGGAGGGGGGGAAATGAGCTGATACCAAGGGCTCAAGTAGAAAGAAAATGTTTTGAGAATGATGATGGCAACAAATATACAAATGTGCTTGACACAATGGATGTACATATGGATTGTGATAAGAGCTGTAAGAGCCCCCAATAAAATGATTTACAAAAAAACCCAAACAAACAGCAGTATCCCTTGGCCCCTTACAGCCTAACTCCCAGGGTGTCTGTCCGCCCACTGGTTCGCACCCAATGGGGGAACACCGCAAACCCCAGCTGGGTCAGTTAAAGCCCAAATACACATTTAGCAAACTCAGCCCAGGGCTCTGCTAGCTCAGGGGCTACAGGATGAAAGTCTCACTCACACACACACACACACACAACGGGGGGCACATACGAACTTTTACCCCAGGACCCTAGAAAGTATCGAAAACCGCTCCACGCACTCACTAGTTCACGCCGGGCTCATGACAGACCGCTCCGGCGCGCCGGGGTGGGGAAGTGGGTGGGGAGCCGGAGCGACGCCTCTCCGAAGGGTCCTCCCTCAGAAGCGGGGGCTGCGGGGAAGCCCGTCTGCTGGCCGCCCAGGGGCCAGCGGCCAGTGGGAAAGGTCGCGGATGCCTCGGGGGGCCGCAGCAGAGACCAAGCCACGCTGAAGAGACTCCACAGACGCGCGGGGAGTTGCCCCCCGAGCCCCGACTCCGGGCCTCGCCTGCCCCTCGCTCGGTGCCCAGCCTCGATCCCGCGACCCCTCGGAGCCAGCCTCGAGGACCTCACCACCCAGCGGAGAGGCGGAACCCCGGAGAGAGGGGAGATCGCCAGTCCCGAGGAAATTCCACTTCTTGAGCGGCGGCAACTGCGGTGGCAAACACCGAACTCCCGGGGAAAGCTGCTGGCTTTGACCTCACTTCCGGTAGCGTGGCGGAAGTGACGCAAGAGGCCAGTAGAGCCCCGGCAGCCCGCTCGTTGCTAGGAAACAAGAAAGCGCTTGTAGCCCAGTTCTGGGAGAACGGTGAGGAAGAAGTGAGACGCGCTGACAACGATCGATTCCTTTTTCTGCTTTTCTTCCTCTCCCTCCCTCAGGTTAGACGCCCCCAGTACACCCAGGTGAGTTCTCTCAGAGAAGTCACGGGCGTATCTAGGATAGTGAACCACTTAAATGTTTTAAGAGATCATTATTGAAATCATTTATAAGCCGTGCAGTCCACTGGTTTAAAATGTACAAATCAATGGTTTGGGGCCATCATCCCTATAATCTAACGTTAGCACATTTTAATCATGTTAATTGTGCTGTTACCCTGTTGCCCCGAAAGTAAGACATCCCCCGAAAATAAGACCTACCTACAGTTTTGCCTCTCGCTGAAATATAAGGCATCCCCCGAAAATAAGGCCCCCCGAAGCTAGTAACTCTGGACTCTGGACCGTAGCAGCGGGTGCCACTGCAGAGCTCACTGTGGGCCGCAGCCGCAGCAGACAGGAAGTGCAAGGTCTCTTTTGATAAAACAGTAAATGTGTACCGTGTTCTTCTTCATGGAAAAATAAGACACCCCCTGAAAATAAGACCTAGCGCTTCTTTGGGAGCAAAAATTAATGTAAGACACTGTCTTATTTTCGGAGAAACAGGGTAGGTGCTGTTGCATTGGCCTCGACTCATAGCGACACTGTACAACTGAAGGAAATGCGGCCTGGGCCTGGGCCATCCCCCCAATTGTTATGTCTGAACCCATTGTGGCTGCCACTGTGTCAATCCATCACATCGAGGGTCTTCCTCTTTCTCGCTATCCCTCTACTTGTATAAGCACTAGGTTTGAAGAAGGCACAGCTTACAATGAAAGTCCTAAATCCATTTTGGA